TGCGTTGAACTGCGTGGGTCCACTTACATGCATTTTTTTTTTTTCCAATAAATACAGTATACTAAGCGTCTTTTCTCTTCCTTAGGATTTTTTATAAGAACGTTTTCCTTTTCTCTAGCTAACTTTATTTTGGGAATACAGTGTCTGACACCGATAATATACAAAGTTATGTGTTAATTGTTTGTACTGTCGGTAAGGCTGCTGGGCAACAGGGGGCTGATTTAGTAGTTGAGTTTGGGGGGAAGTGAAAAGCTATTTTTGACTGTGTGGGGTCATCAGCGCGCATGACCCCTGCACTGTTCAGTAATCAACTGTGTAAATTTCCAGCGTGCCCTCTAATTTTGGTTTTGATACTTAGTAAAATACCCTACAAGTTAGTAAGAATATCAGCCGTGGTGTCTCAAATGATGGGAGATCTTTCAGTGTCCTTCATGAGCTGTGTGGCAAACCGTCATGAAATCTGTTGAGCCGACTTTCTGTATTCTACGTCTCTTTACTTTGCACCCTCCCAACTCCATTGGGGCTCTCACCCTCCCGTAACCAGCGATACTATGACTGTTACGGCTTTCTTCTGGCTTGTAGTAATGTCATTAAATGAGACTGTGCCTGCACTGTGGCTGGCCCGTGGTAAGTACGGTGGACATCGCGGTGGAAGCATACATCATCTCTGATCTTTCAAATAGCCCTGCAGGTTGGCAGCATTATTCTCCTTTCTGAGATGAGGGGACAGAATGCAAGAGGTTTACAAATGACTTGGTCGTGGACTTCAGAGCAGCAGGTGCCAGGGCTAGGAGTCTGTGTTTTCCAAGACCGATTTCTTTCCACCAAATCCCTGCCTTGTGTTCATCCCGTATCCAATTTTTCATCCCGATTCTTCACCCCGGTACAATGTGTACACAGACCTTAAATCTCGAATGTAAGCATGCAAAGGGCTCTCAACAGCTGTTGGTCATCTTTTCCAAACCAAGGACTCCGGAACCTTGGGTTCAGAGAGGTGCCTGGGGCTCGGCCCTTGGAGAACGGAGAGTCTGCTAAAACCTCTGTCGTGAAGCCAGAGCAGCTCAGCCCTTGCCTGTCGTCTGCATTGGGGTTCAGACTGAGGGAAAGTCCTCTTGCTGAGATCTAAACATTGAAGACAGCTCCTCTAATGGGACCCCTGATTTTTACCGATGAGGAAAGGCGGAGGCCCAGAGAAGTGCATGTTCTTCTGTCGGCAGGGAACTTAGAGGCGGAGATGGGACGAGACCCAGCGAACCCAGTCCCTTGTACGCTGCTTTTTCTACGTAAAATACTGAGCACAGCGTCTGGCACACAGAGCGTTGGATCTTCCTGCCGTCGCCCCGTCCCTCCTCAGCAGCTCTCCTGAGGTAGACGGGTGGCGAGTTTGGTACCCACGGAACATTCCTCTGGTGTTTTCTCAGTGGAGGTACCGTGTCCCGGGGGACTGTCCGGCATGTTGCAGGAGGTTTAGGAAATCTGGCTCTCACCCACCTGATTCCGGATACTAGTCTCTCTCCCCAGTGGTTGTGTGGGAGATATACACACGGCACATCCACATTCCATCACACGTATCCAGACACCCCCCGGGGGAACAGCATGTCACCAGTTGAGACCTCAGCTCTTCCAGCCTCCCTGGGGCACAGCCCGGGTTGCAGGGCTTCATGTGGCTCTCTTGTCCCCAACACTCTGCTGAGCCCACAGCTGGCCGCCATTGCTTTATTGCCAACCTCGTGGTTTCGGTCGGTGCGTTCAGATAGCAGACTAGGTCCTGTCACCCTCCGGCTCCCGCAGGAGGTCTCCCCCTGGCCATTTTGCAGATATAACCCGTCGGATGACTTTAGCCCGGTCTTGTCTCTCCCTCCTGCACCCACACAGGGTAACTGAGGCACTTCTGACGTTCCCCACTACTTCTGACACTTGTCACCGCTGTGACATTGCCAGTGCCCTCCCAACGCTCACGGTTAGGAGCCCCAGAAACCTCGTGCTGGCCCAGGGAGCAAGGATTGGTTACGTCAGTGCCCGGATACAGAGGATCCAGTGTCCCAAAGCGCCACCTGAGTGGTGGGAATTTGGGTTTCCAGGGATGAATGGCAAACGTGTTATTTTAGGAGGTGCCAGGACTAATGGCCTCTCGCCTCACACATCGCTGTGCTGCCACGTTTCCTTCACACAACAGGAAGTGCTTTGCCAAATGAGTATTGAGTTTCTTCGTGGCCACGAAAAACCATGTAGAATGTCCAATTTAGTCTATGTTTTGTCATTTGAGTATCAATTTATTTTAGCGATTTCCTGTTTGCAACTTAGCCATGTACCTGGCCTGGGGGTCATGGCGTCCTTCCTCTTCATGGCTTTTATTTTTTTTTTAATTTTTTTTTTTCAACGTTTCTTATTTATTTTTGGGACAGAGAGAGACAGAGCATGAACGGGGGAGGGGCAGAGAGAGAGGGAGACACAGAATCGGAAACAGGCTCCAGGCTCCGAGCCATCAGCCCAGAGCCTGACGCGGGGCTCGAACTCACGGACCGCGAGATCGTAACCTGGCTGAAGTCGGACGCTTAACCGACTGCGCCACCCAGGTGCCCCTCTTCATGGCTTTTAAAGGCTTCTTTTGGTATCCTTTACTTTTCCCTCTGCTGAGGTACAAACGATAGCAAAGATATCTCTTGGGAGCTGACTACGCAGCATTACCCTGAAGCCAACTTCCAGGTGGGGTGACAGACCTCCCCTAAAATATCTCCTGTTCCTCAGAGTTAAACAGGAGGTGGGGCCGGCATGGGCACACCCCAGACCTGTTCCATACGGGTCCTCCTTCCTTTCAATTTCACGCTTCTTTCCTTCTCGTTTCATTTTGTTGTCGTTGTTGTCATTGGAGGGCTCAGTTGTTTCATCTCCCAGGGCTGGGGAAATACCTTTTTGCATGAGGAAGCTCTCTGACAGTGTGAATGAGTCATGAACGTCTGTTAAGACCTGTCGCGTATTTTGTTTTTGGATCACACCTTGATGCTAGTACTCGAAAGCCCCACGTGGCCTCTCTGCGGAAATTCTTTTTGAGATTAATGTTGAGATTTTCCTCAAACGTTCCCCGCAACGTTCGCAACTAAACATATGCAATTTAAGAAAAAGAAATATGGATAGTAAAAGTCATGTATATATGAATATATATATCGAATATATATATATATATATATATATATATATATATATACACACACACACACACATATATCTCAAAAAACAGTATAGACAATTTTGGAAACTTTTTGTAGAAGTTTGCAGGGAATAGGGGCTATCTTCAAGGACTTGATGTAAAGGACATCTGTTGGCCAAAGGATTGAGCCATGGCATTGGCCTTGGCCTTGGTGGGTTGCTAGCTTGATCGTGGTTCAGACATGGGCCTGCCTGATGGCCAGCCACCACCAGGATCTCCTAAGTCACCTGGAGCTTTCTGAAATCCTCTTGTACGAGGCTCCCTCTGCAGTCTTCTGAGACTCTTCTCAGAGTCTTCTCAGTCTAACTGAGCCACAAGTTAACCCAAGGGGGGGTTCGAGGCTGGTGAGATAAAGGTGTTTGAGCAGATCCAATGCCCTCTGGACCATGGTACCTACTAACTCCACTGTTTGTCCAAGAGCACAAACAAAACAAAACAAAATGGAAAAAAAAAGCAAACAAAAACACCAAAAAAGCAACACGACACAACACAAAACAAAACAACAGTCTCTGATTTTAAAGGCCACCAATGGTCCAGAGACAGTGAACTTTTCAGGGGAGTAAGAAATAAAGTTGAACTTTATTTCTAAGTTGAACCTGCTCCAACTTTTAACCAAGATGGCAAGAGTATACATATAGGTTATCCCATTGTAAACCTGGGCCATTTCAAAATAATCCTTTTGTTTTCTGAAAGTGTATTTTACAGTTCAAGGCGGTTTTAGAGATTAACTCATTATTATAGAATATTCTAGGCTTCACTGGGTTTTGAAAAGTTAAGAAGGACAATGTGCAAGTCCATTTCAACTGGGCTGCTTCAGAGGCAGCCCTCGGCCCCGCATGGTGCCTTGGAAAGTGGTGCTAACATTGTACTGGTTTATTAGTGACGCTGATGCCATAGAGAACCGGGGCTGGAATATTTCTCCGGACAAATTGCACCGCGTGTCATTGATCTGCTTTTACAGCCAGGCTTGACACATTCACCATTTTCTTCCTGTTCACCCCCTTCCTTAGCCTCTGAGATTTACAGCTTTTAAAACTACAGCACTCTTTTCTGCCCCTTGCATTTAAGTTAAAAGCTGACCAGTCTGTAATATAAAACAAGGAATTGTGGTAATGAATAAGAGGTTAAAAGCTATCATGGCAAGTGAAACTTGAGCAGGTTCGACTGACTGATATGGCAAAATGATGTGTTGAATTAAAACATTGAAATGCTGTGGGATTAATGGAGAAAGACAGGAACAGGAGGTCAGAAACAGTGCTAAATCAGCACATTATACGCCTGTGGGCTAGAGGAAAGCTTTACTACACATGCCTGTTGCAGAGGGAAAAAAATAGTAATTGAGTCGTCATTTTCTTCGGGTGAGGAGAAACATAGACTTTTCAATCTGAGAAGCACCTAGGAAATATATTGATTGCCGTCCCTTTCTCATGTAGAGGAGGAATTAAACGATGCACAGGATTTCATTACAACAGCAACAACAACAAAAAACCACTGCCTTTGCCATTTGGATTTTTTGACTTTGAGTTTCCTTGTGCCACTGGCCTTCGTTTGTTTGTTCGTTCGCTCTATTCAACAGAGAGCCCGTCATGTACCAGATGGCCTACAAAGTGCTGAGGATTCAGTGGAAGATGATACAGTGATGCATATAGTGCTGTCCTCAGACTCTATAAAGTTCTGGGGCGGCTGCATGTGAGCAGGCAGTGACTTGGGGGAGGGAGGGAGCAGCTCCCTGGAAGGACAGAGGTCTAAGCTGGAAGCCTCTAAAGATGGCGGGTTGGCCTGACCAGGAGATTGGAGGAAGAACACTGTCCTAACACAGGCACTTCTCTTGTGTGTGACGTCACACATGACGCCACAGGGACAGAAATTTGCCAGTGCTCATTAATCACGTAGATGCTCTGAGTATGTGTTTTCCACTTCGTTCCCAACAGACAGCAATTTTATAAGCTTTATTGCTGGGTCAGATTTGTTAACAAGTGTGTCATTGGATATGTCTGGCCACAGTTTCTTGGGCTGTGGTGAGCTAAACGCAAGGCTTTACAAATTATTTTTAGGTCAGTTTCCCTGATGACTTTGTCAGCGTGTCTGGATCGTCAGCAGCCAACCTTGTAAAATTTTAAAATACTATCATCGGTGTAATTCACCATAGGCCAAATTATTAACATTTCTGTAGATCACTGGTCAGCAAACTAGGGCCCATGGGCCAAATCCAGATGGCTACCTGTTTTCGAATAAAGTTTTATCAACTACCAGCCTTGTTCGTTTGTTTACATTGTCTATTACTGCTTTTACGCTGCAAGGGGAGTTGAGTAGGTTCAGCAAAGACCACATGGCCCGTAGACTTCAAATATTTACTTTTTGGCCCTTTATAGAAAAAAATAGTTTAGGTGCCTATTATTTATTACTTATTAGCTGGTGTGATAATTGAGCCAATTCATTCTACGAGAGCCATTTAGACCATCTATCTGAAAACTGAGTTTATTTTTCAAAGAAAATTTGCATATATCCTAGTAAGCTAGGCTTTCATAAATGCTCTGAAAATGTTGCCATTTGTGTAGTTGGGGAAGAAATTTAGAGGCTACAAAATGGAAGGGAAACCAATACATAACAGTCCTTGTAAAATTCTGGAATTAGACAGTGAGTCTGCAGTGTTTATAAGAATGAGAAAGAAGGGAGGAGTGGATGGTATTTTAATTTGCCCAGAAAGCTGGGCTGAATTTATTCCCTAGCATTCCTGGAGGCTCCTGGTGCACTCCGCCCGTAACAGGGAGCTACACAGATAAAGAAAGCCTGGGGAAAGAACACCAGATTCTGGAAAGCTTCAGTAGCACCAAGAGAGAGTTAAGAGACCAACTAAACATTATGGTATTTTCTCAGGGCAAAATCGGAAACCCTTTAGAAAATAGAAGACACGACCTAAGTGCTCCCTTCAAGGTTTTTTATGTTAAAAATGTCTTCGATGAAAGTATTTCAGATTTTTTTCTGTCTTAATGATTTTAGATTTCAGAGTACTTCTCTTCACTTGAACCTAAAAAAGAAAAAAAGTGTTTTGTTCACCCAATCCTACGAAAAAAAAAAAGAGAGATATTTTGTTCACACAGTAACTTCCCTTTCTTCGGGAGGCTCAGAGAGTATTGTGATAATATCTGCAATTCGGAAAGACCAACCCTTTTTATTTTGTATTTATTTTTTTTTTGAAGTCTTTGTTTGAATTCCAGGGAGTTAACATCCAGTGCTATGGTAGTTTCACGTGTCCACTACAGTAATTCAGCACTTCTGTACATCACCCAGTGTTCATCGGGATAAGATGCTTCCTCAATCCCCATCACCTCGTTCACCGATCCCCCCCGCCCCACCTCTCCTCTGGTAACCATCAGTTTATTCTGTATTAAGGGTATATATTGATTTGTCTCTCTTTTCCTTTGCTAGTTTATTTTGTGTTTCTTAAGGTCCACATATGAGTGAAACCATATGGTATTTGACTTATTTCACTTAGCATGATACTCTCTGCATCCATCCATGTCATTGCAAATGGCAAGATTTCATTCCTCTTTATGGCTGACATATGTGTGTGTGTGTATATATAAACATAAATATGTATATAACATATATCACATATATAACCCATATATAACACATATATTATATATATAACATATGTATCACATATATAACATATATCATACATATATAACATATCACATATATATCATATATCACATATATAACATATATATTACATATATATAACATATATACATAACATATAATACACACACACACACACACATATATATATATATATAAAACATACATATTTCACATCATCTTTATTCATCAGTTGATGGACACTTGCGTTGCTTCCATATCTTGGCTTATTATAAATAATGCTGCTACAGACAT